TTCGGGCTTGAACTGATGGTAAAACTAACGACATTATTAACTGTCTTGATATTTACTTTGAAAGCTGAAGCTCATGATTATGGTAAGGGGTGTTAAATTTCCAACGCGTGCTTGTGGTGTTCGGCCAATCACAATGCACTGGGTCAGCTGGCCAATCAGAGCAGACTGCGCTTGTCAAAGGAGGGGGCTTTGTTGAAAACGACGTGTTTGAGAGAGGCGGGGCATAGAGGACCTACAATAATGTACAGTATTTGAAAAATAATGTGTTTTTTGAACATTAAAGCATGTCAACATATTCTGTTACACCAAATACACAAAATAATGATCTTTAAAATAGCATCATATGACCCCTTTAATTCAAATGTGCTCTGATTTCGAAGTTGCAGTGATAGAGCCTTATTGTCATCTCACTCCACAATAATTCACGTTTTGAGAGATGAGTCACTCTCCCACTCTTTAACTTATATTTAGGCATTGTTATTATCTAAATGTAGTCATACTACATTCAAAATCAGATACGTTATAACTTATCATGCTAAAAACTTGTCACTCATGAATCATAACGTCTGTCTGCTGAGCCCTCGTGATAAGTGCGGCTGTTGACGTTTACATCAGCACCAGCCTCTGCAGTGTGTGTGTGTGTGTGTGTTTAGTAATGTTGTGATGACTGATTGGATGCAGTACATGCACACTTGGGCTTGTTTGTTAAACAATTAGCCTATGCAATTTATATGTTTGAAAACCGCCAAACTGACCCCAAACCAGCCCAAATTTTGTCCACCCGCCCAAGCCAATTTTTACCTGCACGATCAAATTCAAAACCGCCCAATCTGGCAACGCTGGTGAGCGCTGCGTGCTCAGGTGCTGCCGTTCTCAGCGCCGTCAAAATAAAAATCCCGCCTCGAACACATCGGCCAAACAGAAAAACTTATCAGCCAATGTCGATATTTGAAAAATTACAAATATCGGCCGATATATCGGCCGTCCACTAATCATAATATATAGTTGTCAGAATTGAGGATAAAAATTATATGTCTGCCTAATAACTAATCTGTATATATTCAAGGTAGGTAAGATTTTTTTAATGTTTTTGAAAGTTTCTTATGCTTATCAAGACATATGAAATCCATTTATTTGTAGTAGCAACTATTTATAAGTAGCAATTATTTATAAGTAGTAGCAATTATTTAAAAGTAGCACCTTAACTTGATGGATGCAAATCAAAACAAAAGATGATTCAAATAACTAAAAAAATGTTGAACGTACTATATTTAAAAAATCATTATCATGAGTGCATATCTCTGTTTTCAGGCCACCGATCCTGATGGCGGGCTCAACGGTCAGGTCCGATACCGTTTGCTCTCCTTTGTGTCTCTGTTCACCATAAACGCCACGGGCAGCATCTTCACTGCGGTTCCGTTGGACCGAGAGACACGGAGCTGGTACGATCTGATCGTGGAGGCGTCAGATGGAGCAGTGGACCCCCGCAGGACCACCATCACACTGCTGGTGGAGGTGACAGACATCAATGACAACAGCCCTGTGTTTTCCCAGCCCATCTACACTGTCAACGTCCCAGAAAACACCCCAGCTGGAACCGTCATCCTGAGACTCAGTGTAAGTGCTTGACTCATCCATAGCTCAGCGTTCTTGTTGTGTCGTTCTCTCATATCTGAATACTTCACGATTTGACGTTGCTGAGTGGCATAAGCTGTTGAGAAAGTTAAAGGTGAACTGCGAAATTTCTGCCTCCGTTTGACCTGGGCATCTAACCTGACTTTCAGAAAGGAAGGAAAAGCAGATTGTCTGTGGGTGGGTGTGTGTTTCTTTATGTGTCTGTCTATCTGTGTTGTGTCTGCTGGCCTGACAGTAACTGGCTGATTATGTGTGTTTAGTTTCCAGAGAGTGTGGGGGGAAAACGTCTCTGCATTTCCCTGTTTATTCCTGACAGGCGGCATATTTAACTAGATAAATATTGACACTCTTGACAGACCCAGTGTGAAAAGCAGGAGATGCTGTCTTGTGGTAAATGTGCCTCTAAACGATCACACTCTTGGGAGTTTTAGAAGAACGCCAACGAAACAACACAATCACCAATTAATTTTATATAAACTAGAGACAAATATGAGCAAAAAGTCTCAGAGGCGAACTCACTAAACTGTTACTCCACTTTAATGTGCAAAACTCTGTCTTATTTGGATATCATTTGCAGTCCAACTTTAAGGGATAGTTTAGGCAAACATGAAAATACTGTCATCATTTACTCAGCCTCATGTCATTCCAAATCTGTGTGACATTCTTCTGGTAAATATCAATGGGGTCCAGTGTTGCTTGGATTTCAGTCATGGTCATGGTTGGTCTTTATACTTTTGTTTATGGTCTGAAAATGTCAAAAGGATAATAGTAAATAAATGTCTGGTTTCTAAAAAATTAATTAGCAGAATACAAATTAAGTAAATAATTGAGTAACTCAAACATGTGTGTTGCATCAAAGCATTTAAATAAATTTCATGCAAGATGTGGCCACCTGTTTTTTATATATTTGTAAAAAAAAATAAAAAATGCAGGTGACCTTGGAAAGCTTGGAATAATTAAGATCTATTTGCTCACCAGGGCTGCATTTATTTGTTCAAAAATACAGGGGAAAAAACAGTAATATTGTTAAATATTGTTACAATTTTAAATAATGGTTTTATATTTTATATATTTAAAATGTAATTTATTTCTGTGATAACAATGCTAATTTTCAGCATCATTACTCCAGTCTTCGGTGTCACATGTTCCTTCAAAATCATTCTAATATGCTGATTTGATGCTTAAAAAACATTTTTTTATATATCATTATCAGTGTTGAAAACAGTTTTTGCTGCTACATTTTTTGTGGAAAACTGATACATTACCATTCAAAAGTCTGGGGTAAGTAAAATTTAAATAAATAAATAAATAAAAGTGACAAAGACGTTTATAATGTTATAAAATATTTCAAATTCTTTTGAACTTTTTTCATCACAAAATATGAATAAACACATGCATGCATACATATATACTGGTTTCCACAATAATTATTAAGTGGCAAAAACTGTTTTCAAAATTGATAATAATATTAATAACTTAGTACCAATAATAATTGAGCACCAAATCAAGCATATCAGCTTTTGACTGGTAGTATGTGTATGTATATATTGAACATATATTGTTTTAATGCCATATTCAATTCAATTCAAGTTTATTTGTATAGCGCTTTTCACGATACAAATCGTTGCAAAGCAACTTTACAGCAAATTAAGTTTCTACAATATTTAGTGGTAGCTTATCAGTGGTGACTGTCAGTCAATGTACATATGGCAGAAATGTACGGAAAAATCAATTAAAGACGTATATGTGTGTAGATGTGGCCAGATGCCACATGTTGGTATACACGTGTAATCTGGCCTAAAACAATGTGTTCAGATACAGATATACATCAGCAGGCACAATTGAAAAAAAGTGAATTCCCATTTTGGATTCAGATTGAAGGAAAAATAAGGTTGAGTATGTGTGTGTGGTTGGTGGATGAGGGGCAAATGAGTGACACTGTTTGAAGACAGTGATCTTGCTGCTTTATTTTTATCTCAGTGTGTCTGACACCTTCGGGTCCCTGCAGCACTGGCTGGTGTCAGAGCGCCGTGCGTCCTGGTGACAGGATCTGGTCCGGGGCTGATCAACTAATCAGATTCCCTGGGCTGCTTCTCTCTGGGGGTCTCGAGCTTTATTTATATACTTCTAAAACCTTCGAGATCAGTGTGGAATTTAATTCCTTGTGCCTCCCACATCAAAGAAAGACACCTGAAAGGTTCCCACACCCACAGAGCTGCTCAGAGCGTCTCTCCTCTGCTGTGCTGTGCTGTGCTGTGCTGTCTAGGCCTGTCATGATAACAACTTTTTGTTGTGCGATATATTGCCCCAGAAATAATTGCGATAAACGATATTATTGTCATTTTAAAGACCATTTATGCCACTGAATATATAATCATAATGTAACAGCATAATAATGCAAGAAGGCCTACACACTTCCAAATGACAACAAACTTTTAATTTTTAAGAATATTTAGATCATGGAAAATAAGTATAAAAATATTAGATACCATAAAAAACTTGAATAAATAAACATTTTCTAACAAAAAGTGCAAAGTAACAAGTACAAAAAAAGAAAAATGCGCGCTTTTATGGAGATTTTTCCATCTACTGATTTTTCCCTGACCTTCTTTTCTCTGTAAATTAAGGATGCACACTATTCCTGAAAAACACAATCACTATCCCTAAACAAGGCCATATCTTCAGGTGAAACTTTTGTAGAAGCATTTTTTAAATTTGAACTAGCACCTCATGACTACACCACGTTATGTAGGAGAAGCTGCAAAAGACACAGGCACACGTGGAATGTACAAAACATGGTGACATGATACAGGCCTAGTGCTGTCTGTTAGCTTTCAGCTTCAGATACACACACATGTGGAACGCAACTATGAATCTATGTGTGCTTAACATGGGCAGTGGCCCCAAAATATATCTGGACACCTGAGGCACACTTAGAAATGTATAAATGTCATTGCATTATACTGGATAACAACATATCAAAACAAGTGGCATTTATTTTTAAGAAGGATAGCTCAAGCACACTTTACAAGTAAAACATTTCACACAATGATGTTGAAAAGTCTAAATGTATTTGGAAAAATACTAAGTAAAAGTTAATTCTGAGAAAATGTCCACTATAGTTTGGACTTGATATCTTGTCATCTAATACAATGGCATTCATACATTTGTATATCTCGGAGAGAATGTTTGCTGCCCTTCTGCTATGATATTTATGGTTTGTTGAGTTGATTTAATGCTCAACAAACTGTGAAATCAAACAAAATGCAATGCGATCAATGAAATCAAAATTGGCCCGTTTTTACTTGCTTAATTCATGTTCTTCGTCTAATTGTGCACAATTCGTCAGTGCACATTATTGCAATAGTAATCTATAGTAATCTTTTATTATATATATTTTTTTAATTTCATTGGCAAGACTCGAGAAAAAAGAAAAAAAAGATAGATGTCCATACACTGAAATTACAGCTTTTGGTTTTGGATGTGCATTTCTGTTTTGTTTGTATGTATGTATGTATTTATTTATCTATTTATTTGATTAAGCCTTGAATTCCAACAATAATACAACTTTACAGAGGAGTTCATTCAGTGTTGATTTAATGAGAATGATTCTGTTGCAGCCAACTTGTGAAACAATGTAGCCAGCAGAAGATCAAACTAGTGAACAAATCTTTTTAGTGTCACTGCCATGGATCAAAATTCCTACCACTATTAGTAGTAATGGGCTCCCCATATTTCTGGGATTGAACCATATATGATCTTAAAAATGAGGATTACAAAAGAAAAGCTGATTAAGAACCAGAACTTAAAATTATATTGATATATCTTTAATATTTCTTGAGTTGCAGGCACGCGAACATTGGAAAAAGAATATTTATGGCAAGCAGAAAGGTCTGTTCTATGCTATTGTTTTGATAGAGGGAAACAAGATATGTGTCAGACATAAAAAAAGAAAAAGTATCAGCTGAATGCAAAGTGACCCACTTTGGTTTTTGACCACTGAAAATGTGTACAATTTAACAATTTACTACAGGAGCCATATTGAGATTTCAATATCGATGGAATGGTACCAGATAGATCCTTAAAAATGAAGATACCAAAAGAAATATTTGTTAAAACCCCAAATCTATTTTGCCATTAAGATATCTGTAATATTTCTTGAGTTACAGGCCTGCAAACTTTGGAGAAAAACAATTGAAAAGTGCTTTTTCCCATTTTTGAATGGTCACCATTAGCATTCAATGCAACAAAGATTGCTAAAATCAACAGATTTTACTGACAGATTTACCAATCTCTGTGTAAAAATTACATAATGATGCTGCCATCCTTCTGAAGTCATTTTTATCCACCCGCCCCCACCCCGTAATTTGGCTCTGAATCTCAGAGGAAACTGTCATTTTGGCCACCCTCTAAAAATTGTGGATTACTCAGTAAACATACATCCATTACATTTCATATTTTGGCTTTCATTGCTATACATGTTGATCTTTCTTCAGAAGAAATATAAACAAAATAAAAAATTTGAGCCAGGGACCTTCGGTTGAGTTGACACGTGATTAACCCAATTGCAATGACTTCTAAACCCCTCTTTCTACTTCAGCCCGTCTCCTCCAACCACCTGCCTCAATTCCAGTAGGTCGAAACTAAATCATTCTCATTAAATCAACTCTGAATCAACTCCTCTGTAATGTTGCATTATTGTTGGAATTTAAGTATTAAAAAAATACTAAATAGGTATGCACTTCCAAAACCCACAGCTATATATATATTTTTTTTTTTCATCTAGTCTTGCCAATGAAACATCAAAAAATCTCATTTCATTTGATTATGACAGTTAATTGTATTATCTGCCTCAACTGTGGTATGGAACAACAACATTTAAAAATCCAGACAATTCCCAAGTCCCACCCTACTTTTTTGAAGTTCAATATTAATTTTTACTCAAAAATAAGTCTTGTTACAGAAGTAAACATTGAACAGCATTTCATGTCCATGAGGCCACCGTTTAAGATCTCTCCAATCTTAGTCCAATCAATTGCAATGGATAAAATCAATGGTTTTACTGTCCCTTTAAGGAACTGTTTAGGCAGCTTTATTCCTGCAGTACCTGGCAAAGTGTGGGATCATTAACTCTCTCTTTTTTACCCTTTATTCTCTCTGTTCTCTTTCCTCTGTGTCTCTCAGGCGGTGGATGCCGATCTCGTCTCTAACGTGACCTACAGAATAAAAACAGAAGCCGCTCGGCAGCTCTTCACCGTGAACCGTCTGACTGGCGCCGTATCAGTCCTGCAGGCTCTAGACTTTGAGGACTTGGCAGCAGGCAACAGCACCTACACATTTGAAGTGGAGGCGTTAGATCACGGAGGAGTCCTCCTTCCTGGCACAGCCACAGTCATCGTTAGAATCACGGTAAGGCTGCTAAGAGCGTGTGAAGCGCTCATCAGCTTTAAAAAAAACTCTGTTTTATCACACCAGTCTCAATGGTAACACGAGAAACTCTCTTCCTGAAAGTTCACCAGGTTCCAGTCGGAAATGGTTTGAACTTGGGGGAAGGAAGCAAATTTTCATCAGGTCTAGTGCCGGTGATTGGATTAGATCTTTCAAAGCTTGTCCATAGTGTCTACGTGCTAACGCTTCTTGCAGAAGCTCCGCTGACTCTGTTCCAGTAATGCTTACAAAAAATTTGATCTCTGAATTCAATTAGTCTTGAAAGAGAAACCTCTATGTTGGCAGGATTGTGGGCGTTATTTACTGGATCCTCGCCTGTGTTTGCCTGCTTTTCCGTTGTGATATTTCTGGCTGACAGTGACAGGAGTGACAGACAAAGCTAGGTTCTGATGCTAGCCTGGCACAGCTATTCCAGGCCTGAATGACTCATTAGCTTTGTGACTGCAATTATGTGAGGATTTTAATGCGAGCGCTCTCCATCGCCTCCAAAGATTAGCCAGGGGATCAGAACAGAAGGATTAGCCTCCTCCAGTTTACAGCAGCTGGAGTGTGTGCGTGTGTGATGAAAAATGAACTTGTACTTCATGTAAAAAGTTCCATTTTTAATGATGTAAATCTGATAGAAATGTTGTGGTTTTCAGTGAGGGTGTATGCATTAACATTAGGGAACGCAATAGCTAACACAAACTAAAAATGAACACACTCGGAGAAAAAAAGAACAAAAGCTGTCACTGGGGCAGTACCCTTTTAAAAGGTACATCTTTGTACCTTATTTAGCCCTAAAGGGTGCGTATTATAATATCTTAAATCTGCATAGTAGTAGTACCTAAAGTGTACATATTAGCACCTAAAAGGTGCATGTTAGTTCCTTTTGAAAGGGTACTGCCCCAGTGACGGCTTTTGTACCATTTTTTTTTTCTGAAAATGTACAGAATGTAATCATTTTGGAAGTAAACATTAAGTTAACATTGTGAGCAGACAATATGCAATGTTATATTTATAATTAAACCAGTCCTAGTGAAAAATAAATATACTAAGATGTATTTGAAATACATTTATTTCATGCTAAGTATACTACAAATGCATTAACATACTTATTTACTTAATAAAAATACCCTGCAATTACTAAACTGATATACTTAAACTCTGCTAAATTGTAACAACTAATTTTGTACTTAATGCACTTTAATTGTGCGGAATTAGCGCTGAAGTTCAACTAAAGATATACTGAAGTATATTTGATTGTGCTAAAGGGGAACTATTGCGAGTATACTTTAGATAAATTTTACATATCTTGTATTTAAAGACCGATATTATTCAAAGATCAAACAATCCTCATCAATAGTGACATTAAAGGGGTCATATGATGCGATTTCAATTTTTCCTTTCTCTTTGAAGTGATACAAGCTCTTGGTGGATAAAGAAGATCTGTAAAGTTGCAAAGACTAAAGTCTCAAATCCAAAGAGATATTCTTTATAAAAGTTAAGAGTCAGCCACGCCTACCTAAAACGGCTCGTTCTAACACGCCCCCACATGTCTACGTCACGATGTGAGAAGATTTGCATAACGCCGCCCAAATGTTCACGCAAAGAAAGAAGGCGTAACTTTTATTCTCGCTGTAGTATTGTTGCTGCCGCCGCCATGTTGTGGAGACGCTGTGTTTCAATGTGAAAGCTAAACTACTTTGTTTGGCCTTCCAAAAGAGGACGATATCCGCTTCGTCATCCCTAGAGCTGATCCGTGCTGGTCGCTGAGGGAATACATCAACTTCGTGCTGTGGATCACCG